TTCCCCATGGAAACGTGAAATCTGCTCCCTTGGGTTGTTTTTTCTTTTAAAGGCAGAATGTCAGAGCGATATAGGCACCACCAAGCTTGGTGCTAGAGGTCTAATCTCTAAAACCTATTTGGGTGAGTGGACTGGTATCCTCTCCCCCACCCCCACTTCCCCGCCCCGCCCCGCCCCACCCCACCAGCAAGCCTACCGCGCCCACTTCCGGAAACCCCTTCACCTCAGTCTCCCTCAGAAGAGCGCGTATCCTTCCGCGCCCCGTCACTTCCGGGATCCTCAGGACGGGGCTCAAAAAAATACCCGGATGCAGCTGTCATGGCTGCCATCAGTAAGGGGCCTTAATGGAGATCGAGTCAGATGCTACCCATAAGGCGTCCAGAGTTTGGGACTTCAAGAAAGCCTGTCAAGAGGCAAAGGATGAGCCTGTCTGCGGCAGGGTACTGCCGACGGCCCTGGAAAGTGTGCCTCCGCGCTGCCGGCTCACTTGCCAAGGTTTTCTGGAGAAGTCGCCCCCTCCGCTCTGGAGGGCCTCCCGCTCCCTCCGCGCTCACACCCGCCCGCCGGGCTCCGAGGGCGGACTCGGGGTTCCCGCAGCCCGGAGCCGGGGCGGGGACTGCCAAGGGTCTCTCCAGACAGGTGCCTGTCGACTGACTTCCCTTTCTCTCCCTGAACTGAGCGCTTCAGTGAGAGAATGAACACACCACACACGCCTAAACTCCTACCCTGCTTTGAGAGTTGAGACAAATGTCACCCAACTCTTGCCTCTCCGCGGGTAGTAAGGCAATGCTTTGAGCCATTAGGTTTTCCTGAATCCCGAGCCCCAGTGATGAGAAGCGGTCTCACACGGAACCTGCCACCTTCTTCAAGCTTCTCGCACTCCTGCAAGTTTTGCGGCCTCACTGTCAGTGACAACTCCATCTCAGTGGCTGCCTGATTTGATCACTTTGTAAAATGTCAATGACTTCAGAGATGTCAAAATGGAAACTGATGTGCCCATTGTCAACCCCAATTCTATATTACATTTTATTGCTGTATTACAGGTATATATATATATATATATGTGTGTGTATATATATATATATATATATATATATATATATATATATATATATATATACATAATTCAAGGCAGAAGCTTCCTGGTAGTGGAAAAGTAGGAACTATTTCTTTTCCATATGTGAATTCCCAGTACTTAACATGTACTAAGTGCTCAGTAAACATCCACTAAATGAATTAAGTAAGTCAGTATTTCCTATTAGGAATGTTTTCCAAAAGTTATGTTTGACTGAATTTGTAATAAAATACATGTTTTGATACCATTTTTCTTGATGGCATTAGGGTTTGAACTTAAGAGTCTTACCTTCCTAGGCAGGTACTCTAGTCCTTGAATTATACCTTCAGTTCTTGCTACCATTTTTTTCATTGAGAATTGCATTATTATAAAACATACAATATATCTTCCTTTCAATTCTAATACTATCATCAAGTATGGAGTGTCTTTTGTTCCTTGAACAAGTATTTTAAAATTGAAATGCTGGCATAGACTTTAAAACAAAAATCATAACTGATTTATTATTTTGTATGTGTTTATGGTGTGGGTGTGTGCCGGTCATAGGGCTTGAACTCAGGACCTCAGCATTGCCCTTGAGCTTTTTGTGCTCAGGAATAGCACTTTACCACTTGAACCACACTCCATTTCTGGCTTTTTTGAGGGCCAGGGCGGTTAACTGGGGAAGAGTCTCATGGACTTTCTTCCCTGGGCTGGCCTTGAACCACGATCCCTCAGATCTCAGCCTTCTGGACTGCTAGAATGACAAGTGTGAGCCACCTGCGCTGGGATATTTTTATTTATTGTTTAGTGGTATTGAGGTTTGAACTCAGGGCATTGTGCTTGCTAGGCAACTGCTCTGCCACTTGAACCACACATTCAGTTCTTTTTTGGTCATGGGGCCTGAACTCTAGGCCTGGACACTGACCCTCAGCTCTTCAGCTCAAGGCAAGGGCTCTACCACTTGAGCCACAGTGCCACTTCCGGTTTTCTGAGTGGTTTATTGGAGATAAGAGTCTCAGGACTTTCCTGCCCAGGCTGGCTTTGAACTGCGATGCTCAGATCTTAGTTTCCTGATTAGCTAGGATTACAGGCATGAGCCACCAGTGCCCAGCTAGTTTTTATTTTTCATACAGGTTCACAATTTTTGCGTGGGCCAGCCTCAAACTACAACTCTATCTGTGGCCTCCCTTGTAACTGGGATCACAGACACACATTACCACACCTAGCTTTTGTTTGTTAAGATAGGGTCTTACTTTTTGCCTGGGCTATCTTTAAACCATGATCCCTTTCAGCTTTCCAAGTAGCTGGTATTACTGGCATCAACCATCATGCCTAGCCTATTTATTTTGTTTTTGGCAATATTGAACTTTAAATTCTTGCTAGGCAAGTGTTCAACTACTTGAATCATACTCTCAACCTGTGGCCTGTTTATTTTTGAAACAATATACAACTATGTAGCCTGGGTGAACCTCAAATTTTCCACCCTCCTGTCTCAGCCTCCAGTGCTAGAATTGCAGATGTGTACCAACAAACCAGTATTTGAACTCGGCTCATGCTTGCTCCACTGGCACTCTTACTACTTGTCATGTTCCTAACTCCACTATTTGCTAGTTATTTTGGAGATAGTCTCATGGCTTTTTTTTTTTTTTGCTTATACTGGTTTCAAATCTTAATCTTCTAGAACTTTAGTATCCTGAATATTGAGGGTTACAAGGAGCCACCAGTAACTGGCTTTATTGTGTTTGTGTATATGGGGACATGCTCTGGTTGAGTCTTGAACTCAGGTACTTGGTAAGCCTTTCCACTCATGGTTAGCACTTGAGCCACACAACCAGGCCTCTGGTTTTATTTTTAAATTGCCCAAAGTAAGTTTCATATATAAATATTCATTTTTTTAAGTTTAAAAATATTGATGAGGGCTGGGAAGGTGGCTCAGTGGTAGAGCGCTTGCCTTGCATGCATGAGGCCCTGGGTTTGATTCCTCAGCACCACATAAGTAGAAAAAGCAGCAAGTGGCACTGTGGCTCAAGTGGTAGAGAGCTAGCCTTGAGCTGAAGAGCTGAGGGACAGTGCCCAGGCCGAGTTCAGGCCCCATAACGGCAAAAAAATTAAAAAAAAATATAGATAGATGACTAAGTTTTTGTAAGCATTGTGGAGATACATATAGAAACAGCATGAATGATTTGTTAGAAGTTTTAGAAAAACTGTAGCTGAAAAATACTTTGAAATTTTGCAAACAGGTAAAAATTTGGAAGTAAACAAATGTAAAATGTAACTACACTGGGTGCCAGTGGCCCTCACCTGTAATCCTAGCTACTTAGGAGGCTGAGAGATGAGGATCATGATTCAAAGCCAGCACAGGTAGGAAAGTTTGTTGGACTCTTATCTCCAACTAACCATTCAAAAAGCTCTAACTGGGGCTGGGAAGGTGGCTCAGTAGTAGAGCGCTTGCCTTGCATGCCTGAGGCCCTGGGTTCTATTCCTCAGCACCACATAAGCTGAAAAAAAAAAAAAAAGGCTCTTAACTTTGAGCAAAAGAGCTCAGGGACAGTACCCAGGCCCTGAGTTCAAGCCCCACAACTGACAAAAAGTTCCCACACAGCTAGCACTATGGCACAGACTAACCACACAGGACTTCAGGAACTCTTCTGTTCACCTTGGCCTTTACCCTCAGGTCCCTAAACCTTTATTCTTGGCAGAGTATTTGACCTCTCATTTTCTCAGAGAAAAAGTCATGAGATGCATTTTCTCCAATACCACCAACCTTAATAATTTTATAAACTTAGATAAACTTTTCCAAAGCCCGAGCTTGTTGTCAACTTTTTTTTTTTCCTTTAAGCCTCAGGTACTTAAGGATGGACCTTAAGCAAGTTCTAAACTAAAATGGTAAGAAAGAGTTCTGGATTAAGCTACTCAAATAGCTTCTAGTGTGTTAGTCCTATCTATCAAGCTACACATGCAAGCTGCTTAAAAATGAAGATGGCTGCTTTATGCACAAAGAAACAGTTGTTTCCAATTTGCTACTTGGGATTCAAAATCAAATCACTGCTTGCCCTGATGTAGAATGCTTGTTGCTTTCTTAAATTCAGCCCTTAAGAACATTGTATATAAATTAGAGGGTTGGTTATTGTTAAACCTTTCACTATGCCAGAGCAAGAAATAACTTACATGTACAAATGTATTGGTTTATGTTTCAAACAAAAGCCCATCTGGAAGGTTTAAATTGAATTAAGTAGTAAATAATAATTTAGGCGGACAGATTGTTAACCCAGTTCTCTCAACTCTTTGGCCATTTTGTGTCCCTACCTTTTGTAGATATAAGATTACATGCTTGGCTGGGAATGAATTTAGTGGTAGAGTGCTTGCTTAGCATGCATGAAGCCCTGGGTTCGTCCTCAGTACACATAAACAGAAAAAGCTGTAAGTGGCACTGTGCCTCAAGTGGTAGAATGCCAGCCTTGAGCAAAAACGCAGTCCAGGGACAGTGCCCAGGCCGAGCTCAAGCCTCCAGACTGGCAAAAGAAAAAGATTATATGCTTATTCAAGCTTCCATCATTGTATAATAAATCAAAGGCTGCAGTTGTTAAGAGTCAATTTAAGCTCAAAAGGCAAAAGTGGTGTTCATTGTAGTCTGTGGGCTTCCATGCTTGGACGTAAAGGGGCAACTGTGTCCCACCCCTGTGGCTATATTCAACAGCTGGATGCCTGAGTAAATATAATCATGTCTAATACAATAACATGACTTGATGGAGCTACAAAGAACAAACTGCATTTAAAACAAAACCACCAAGGCCAATTTAGTGAAAACTAGTTTATTTTAAAATTAAGTGCATAGCACTCATCTAGTTCCATTGGTGTAGACTTTAGCACCATACTCACTATTTGTAATTTATGTCATACACTGATACATTTTGGTTTACAGTCTGTACTTGAGTAGTGTCTATTAAGTGGACTTTGGTAAAGCCCTTTATACATACCATTAATCTCTTCACAGTACACATCCGATGGTCCAGTAATTAAAAAAAAAAATCTTCAAGGACTAATCAATAAATTAAACAAAACAAACCCTACACATTCCCCCCCCTCCCCAATCTAACAGTTGTTGAGTTGTATTTATATTGAAACCTAATGTTTTAAAAAAAACCATCCTACCCTGGGTATGCAGCAATAGTAATCAATAACCAATTATCATATTCTAAGCCCCCCCTCAAAAAATTAATCCAGTGTTCTTTAGATTTTTAAAATATAAATTGGAAAAGTGTTAATAAACTTTTCAAAAAGGCATATTTTTCTATAACAAGAGACATATAAACCAATCAATAAAAGCATTTGACAAGACATTAAATTACCACAGGCACTAATTGTTGTTTCAAGTTAGGATCTTTATCCCAATTATCTTACATTCATAGCATTACTGAGGTAGTTACAATACTGAAAACTGGATTCAAAGTTGCTGGCTTCTATTTGTGAAAATGAACATTATCTTTTTTTTTTTTCTTTTTCATGCTGGTCCTGGAGCTTGAAATGAGGGCCTTGCTCTCTTGCTCATCTTGCTTACTTCTGGCTGGCACTCTACCAACTTACGATGTACATCTGGCCCAGCTTTTTGTTGGAGATAGGAGTCTCATGAATGCTGGTTTTGAACCTTGATCCTCCAAATAGTCTCTTGAGTAGCTCGGATTACAAGCATGAACCACTGGCACCTGGCTGATATTATCTTTTGAACCTACTTTCCCCCATGTAATTCAAGTTTTGTTAAGAATGATTAAAATCCAATTAGCAGCCCTTTTAAAGAGGAAAAGTGACTTTCAGAAAACAATTTTCATGTTTAAAAACTGCCATGAATGTTCTTACCTGAGTGGCTTTTGTGCCATTTGCTGGGCTATGAAATCCACATTATGCCCTGTATACTCTAAACGTAAGTGTTTTCCTTTTAAGGATAAGGCATGTCTTCTAAGAATTCAGGTTGGCAGAAGCCACTCCCTCACACTCATCCACTGGAGCCTCTGGATCACCCCACTACTATGTTGAGCCCTACCCTACTTAACAAAGGCCACTGACTTGATTATGGAATCACCTGCTGCATACCCACAGCTCTGTAACAAGTCTGTCTTCAATGCACATTGTGGTAGTCACACATCTGCCATGCGGACCCTTCTATTCAAGTGCTACCTTTAAAAGAACACAAATGGACACACTAATTTTTAAACGAGAAACTTCCCTCTACCAAATCTGTTTCCTCCCACAGATAAGGATGTATTTACCAGTTATTACATTTTTAACTTTTTAATGTCTATTATTCTCTCAAACACTTTATGCCCAAATTGCCTTTACTATAATGACTATTATTGCTGCTTTCACTCACCACCAGCAGAGTGAAATGTCCCAGGGCAGTTGCAGGGCCAAGTGAAAGTGGCTATTACAATCTTGTAATCAGTATCCCTGTCTGCTCAGGCCAACCAGCTGGAGGCTGTTTACCAAACCTGTCTTCCACATAACAAGTGCTAGGCTAGCACTACCTGAGTAAACCCTGGCTGCCCTCCATTCCAGAATAACCTACAGGACTGTATTCTAGTATGGACACATTTTAGCTATTCCTTCCCTTGAAAAAGCTCTTTTAGGAATAACATCAAATCAGACTATAAATCTCAATTGCACTGACAACTTCAAACCTATACATGAATTACAGAACCACACTTCAATCATTCTGGGCTACAATATTATGATCTCATTGGAAAACACATCCTAGGGGAATAGTTTAGCATGTTATAAAGGTAGTTCACACTCTAACATTCCAAAGTATGATGCATTACAGTTAAATGTTTCCAAGTAGTACAAACTCCCTGAGTTAAATGTGTTTTCATGCTATAGATGTGAGTTGGATCACTTAGGGAAAAACACAAATATAACCAAGATTTCAAGATAAGAGATCTATTCCACACCTAATTTTAGTAAATAAATCCAGATACCTACATTATTTATGACAGGAACTTACATAATCTGACACAATTTTTTACTGCACAGATTGGTATAGCACAGATGAATTTAAACTTAGGAATTCACGTCAGGTAAAAAAAAAACAAAACCCTCAAAACTGAATTAAAAATGTCTTCAAAAGTAATACTGTTAACTTTCCTTCATGAAAAACGGTTTGGCAAGTCCATAGATAAACACTAGTCTTTGACATCTAATCCAAGCAAGAATCCAAGCCTATCACAGGTCAAATCTGAAAATGGCAATCTGCAGTCTGTCCAAAATTTCTGCTGTATTGAATATTTTGAAATATTGGGACCGTCAGCTAGGGCTTGAACATTTTTGTTACACAGGGATTTGCTGTAACAGGACACTCATGATGCTGTGATACGCAGGGATATTCAGTCTTCCTGCTGTGGTACCTGCAGAGTTCTGTCTGGTGTTATCTGGATCCCTTTCCTTCTGAAGAGAAGTTTACAAGAGCCTGCCCCAGAGCTGCAAGGCCTGTTTGGATCAGTTATTACTTGCAGACAATCACCTTTCAAAGCACGGAGTAATACAAGGGTAATGTTCATTTATCTGGTAACTCCGGTTGTAAGAAACACTCAGACAGGGTTTAACTTCTACTGGTATTGCTAGAGACATCCCAACACCAGTCTGCATGTGCCCAAGGCTCTGAACACTAGTTTGGAAGCCACCAGGACATGTCTGTAGTGTGTAAGATGAGGTGTGTGTGGTAGATACAATCTGCTGACAGCTTGGTTGATCTGATACAGGATGGCGATACTGCAGCGAGGTCTGATGAGTCTGGTGGAGATACTGGGGTTGCTGAAAGTGAACTGGCCGTGAGGGCTGGGAGGCTGTCTGGAACATGCCTAGTTGTGCTGACTGAGGGCCTGACTGTGCTCTCTGTTTGTTTGCTTCTTTCACATCATTATCATGAGCACTGAGACATGGAGAGAAATGAAACAATAACATTACTCAAGAAGATGATTCCACACACTGCCACACAACAGTGAGACCTCCCCAAACCCTCCCAAAGCTATTTCCCATGGTGTGAACTATGTGGGCAGCTTTAGGGGTTCCTTCCAGCTTTTGAGATGAGTTCACAATAAGCACAGTGGTCATGGTAAGTGTGGCGGCTGTCACTTCAGATATATCCTAATGGCCCCTAAAAGTCCAAGATGCAGGAACAGGAATGGGGAAAGAGTTAGCTGCAATGATCTCAGAATTATGGGACTAGAAACCTAGAAGAGGACTTTTTCCCTTTCATCTATCTAGAATCATTTTATACTGGTCAACAGCCAAAACAAGGTCCCCTGCCACAGAGTACTGCTCATACCGTGGTTTACTAATGGCACCAAGTAGCTACCAGAAGCCAAATATCCAAGAGCTTGGTGGCTTTGAGGAATTGTTTTTAGGGCACCTTATACATGAAGAAAAATGTTAATGAGGAATTACAAACACCAGGGCAAGAAAGGCTTACATCAACAGCCGTTCAATACACTGCACTAAGAAATCCCAGGAGTAAGCAGTAAGGCGATGTAGTCTTGTGGGCCATGTTGGAGAAAGACGAAGTATAATCCTCGAAGAAGCCACACATGCAGCAGCTACTAAAGAAGGTGCATAATTTAGAAAGGCATAATCTGTGGAGACACCAAAAATGAACTTAAGCAACAGAATACATGATTCACAGTGCACAAGTCACTTAAGTGGAATTCCCAGAAACTCACCTTGCAGGGACACTTCAAGGAAGTAATCTGCATATTTGGCCATGTAGAGTTTAGTTTTTTCCAAGCAGATCATTGGCCAGCCATCATGAAGATCTGTTTCATGTACAGCTTCAGAGAGATAATACTCAATGAAGTGAGCAGCTGTAGGAAGGCAGAGGTTCCACTGAAAGGTTTCTAATAATAATAGTTCCATATGTAGCAAATTTTGCTTTGTTAATACCAGGTTCATATTGGTCATGCAACCAAGGCTATTAAGCTGCTCCAACTTAGGCACGCTATCTTCTTTCTCTTCAAATTTACCTTGTAAGAAAAGGAAAAATGTTAACATGATCATTAGAGGTCTGATCAGTTAAATGGGATTTGCAGGCTAACTGATCAGATTTAGATGAAGGGACATTTTTTCTTCTACCTTCCATGATGACTGTGCCATAGAGCTGTCTCTACATTTGCTTGTTTTCTTCTCTAGTACCAATGTCCCTCACCTTTCCTCAGCCTTTGAAAAACATATGCTTGGGACATTTGATTTGGGTCTTAAACATAATCAGTCATATGTGCTAATTAAAAAAATAACTCAAATCTCACCAGTTGATTCTTCCCAGAAAGTTTTCTTTCTGTGGGCCAGGTGGTAGTTGGTGACAGAAAATTGATTATTTTACAATAGAAGAGAGAGTTTTAATAATTTAATGTTATAGCTTTATCTGAAATAAATTAGGTAAGCCCAAAGTATTTTATTTTGGCATATGGTCAGCAGAATCTCAGTAACAGATAAAAGAACTTAGGGAAAAAGCTGAGTGATTATCTAACATAAGTATCATTCCACAAAAAGTCCTGTCTCTCTTCTTTTGAATTCAAAATGAAAATTCCAAGCCAAGTACTGGTGGCTCACAGCTATAACCTAGCTACTCAGGAGACTGAGATCTAAGGATTGCCAGTCTGGGTAGAAAAGGCCATGAGATTCTTAGCTCCAATTAACCAACAAAAAGCCAGAAGTATACCTGTGGCTCAAGTAGTAGAGCACTAACCTCAAGAAAAAAAGCCAAGCAAAAGTTCAACCCAGGAGCTAACCCCAATATCCACACACACAGACACACACACCACCCGCCAAAAGCCCAGGTAAGTCTACTTTGTAAAAATGGAGGAAATACTTTATTATCCTATTTGAAATCCTCTTTCACAAAGCAGATAGGAATAAAGAGAACATGAAAGGTGGATGGTCATTATTCAAAGGCATTATCTTCTTTTCAGGGAATACCCATTCACAGGTTTCATCTATGCAAAGCTGGAGTAGGATTACCTGTCCAGCCACAGAAAACTGTTTCTATAGATTAATATCAATTTCCAAGCAAACACTTTTTTATTTATATTAGGTAACTTCTACAACTTTTAGCTGAAGGAAATACACAAACTATCAAGCACTGTTCAGATATTCCAGAGAAAGCAATAAAGCCATCCAAGTCTTTGTGCATGTGTGTCTGTGTCTCTGTTCCATGAAAGAACAGAAGTTACAAGCATGACTTCTCTCAATGCGTGCTCTATTTTAATTAAAATTTTAAAATCATATTAGAAGTACAGATTTCTCATTAATAGATGACATTTACCCTTGTCCAAAATTTTCCTAAGAATTAAAATTTTTTTGGAGGGGGGGGGGGTAGAACTCAGGTCTTGTGCTTGCTAAGCAAGGAACTCTTATCTCTGAGACATGCCTCTCGCTCTGATTTATTTTTTCTGGGCCTGGGGCTTGAACTCTAGGCTTGGGCACTGTCCCCAAGCTTCTTGGATAGCACTCTACGATTTGAGCTACAGTGCCACTTCTGGCTTTTTCTGTATTTGTGGTGCTGAAGAATTGAACCCTGGGCTTCCTGCATGCTAGACAAGCACTCTACCACTAAGCCATATTCACAGTCCATCCAGCTCTGATTTCTACCTGTTATTTTCAGATATAGGGTCTCACTTCTTGCCAGGGTATGTGCCTGGATATGATCCACCTATCATAGGCTTTCCAGTAGCTAGGATAATAACCACTAACTACCACACCCAGTTCTTCTTTGAGAAGGAATCTCCTGAACTTATTATCTGTCCTGGTCTGGCCTCAAGCCAATATCCCAACAAGCTCAGCCTCCCAAGTAGCTAGGATTCCAGGCCTGTGTCAAAGGTGCCTGGCAAAGTTAATGGTAAGGTACCAAGGCTGCTCAGTGTAGATGGTCAGGGTACGGGCAACGGGACAGTAGCCAAAGAGGTTTGCTTCTCTTGTCCTCAACTGGGGTTGGTGAAAAAGTGCTGCTGCTATCTTGGTCTTTGCTCAAGGACCACAACTGGGGTAGAAGTTTTTGTCACTGTTACCAGAAGATCCTGTCCCAAAGAATGGTAGAGATGGTGGCTACTGCTCCAGAGAAATTATGAAACTAACTAAATCATGTTTTCAGAGGGCTTTCTGGAGATCAAGCCTAAGACACATTCTAGACAAATGCTGTATCGCTGTAATACCCCCAGTTCATTTTATTTTGACACAAGGTCTAAGTTGCCCAGGCTGGCCTGAACCTGTGTGATTTTTCTGCCCCAGGCCCAGAAAGTAGCTGGGTTTGCACAGGCATGGGCCACACCCAGCTCTAAATCACTCTTTAAGTAAATACTGTATCTAAAACATATTCAGATTTTCAAGAATCTAGCTAGCTCTTCCCAGTCAAATCACAAAGATAAATTTCATATGTTCAGCCAACAGCACACATGTCACCCATGTCACTAAAGTGGTTAGCCAGAGCATCATCACTGAGACAGGAAGGGAAACCATTGTTCCTGCATAATAAAGTGAAATTCTGCAGAGGAAGACTGAACTAGGAATATTGTCCAGTCCCTTGGGATGAATCATTAAGGCTTTCAAAGCACCCTGCTGTTTGTGTAGCACAGCAAAACTGGCAATACACTTCAAAGGAATATTGTAAAAATTAATGACATTATTTATATCATGTTTGAAGTTCCTTTGAAGAAACTAATATACTTTAAGTCACCATAATTCAAGGATCAGGGATGTTTCATATTATCTTCCTGAAACTTTAAACATTAAAAATAAAATTGTCTACAATCAACAAATTAAGGTGGTAAGACTGACCACTTGTGTTAAAGTATGAAAGTGCAAATGAAGAGATTTATGAATCCTCAAATCTGCACTTCTAAACCAAAGTACCACAAATGAAGATTTATGAATCCTCAAATCTGCACTTCTAAACCAAAGTACTGCACAAGATTATATTGGGACAACTATCACAATGACAGCCTTCTCTATAAATATTCAGCTAATATAAACATGAATGGGTTTACAAAGTTAAAAGTATCTTGCATACTCCATAATCAGAATTCTAATGTAGGTTTAATTTTTTGGGACTTTCACTACTTATAGTGATATATATATTCAGCTACATGAATAATTAAAGGATTTCAAAAACTGTGATAACACCAATGTGTACCTGCATTAAGGTCTATAGTTTTTAATTGCTCTGAATATAGTTTTTATTGTTATTTTAAATTTATTTATTCATAATACTATGCACATCAAAAAGTCAGTTCTTCAATTGAAAGGAAATACCAAAAACCATGTGATTATATTGATAAAGGGCCCAAACAGGAACTAAGAGCACAGGAAATTTATATCTGCTTCCCAGAAAATAAAGAATTAAGAGACCACAGAAACAAAACACTAGGTTGTCTTTCCTTGAACAGGATATATTAAGATCAGCCGTGGAGAGCAGTATATTTTCAAAGCCAGCAGCAAATCTAAGTCTGTGGTAGAGATTTGCAGTCTGCAGGACATGGACCTGATGCCATTGTGAACTTGACCAATCCACATTGTGTGTGTGTGTGTGTGTGTGTGTGTGTGTGTGTGTGTGTGTGTGTGTGTGTGTGTGTGTGTGTGTGTGTGTGTGTGTGTGTGTGTGTGTGTGTGTGTGTGTGTGTGTGTGTGTGTGTGTGTTGGTGGTAGGGCATTATTAGGGTCTGAACTCACAGTATTGTGTTTGCTAGGCCTGCGCTCTCTCTTGAACCATAACTCCAGCCCCATTTCTAACTGGCTATTTGCAAGATAGGGTCTTAAAAGCTTTTCTGCCCTGGCTTGTTTTGAAAGGCAATCTTCCTGAATTTAGCCTCCTGTGTAGCTAGGATTACAGGTGTGAGCCACCAGGACCTGACTGTACATTCTCTTCTTCTCCTTTTCTTTTTTTTTGCCTTTCCCGGGACTTGAACTTAGGGACATGGACACTGTCTCTGAGACTCTTTGTCCTCAAAGCTAGTTCTCTACCACTTGAACCACAGTGCCACTTCTGGCCTTTTCTTTTATTGGAGATAAGAGTTTAATGGACTTTCCTGCCTGGGTTGGCTTCGAACCACAGTCCTTCAGATCTCAGCCTCCTGAGTAGCTAGAATTACAGGCGTGAGGCACCAGCACCTGGCTCATTCTATTCTTTCATTACTAAAGTGGAAAATATATGCTGAGAATCCTCACAAGTTTCTAAGATCATCAGTCTAATTTTTTAATTGGGTAAAGAACAAGAAAAGGAAAAAAAACAGCTCATTAAAAATTAAAATCTAAATCAAAACTAAAATGTCATATTTTCACCTAACAGATAATACAGTATAAAATTTTGCTAACCCAGCACCAGTAAACAAGGAAAAACAAGCATTTGTAATGAATCGTGTCTCTAAAATCCTATGATTTTTAAATTTGCTTTCATCTTAATGTCAAGGTCATTTCTTGGTTATACAAGACCTTGAACATACTATCAGAAGTCTCATTTCCAAGACTGCTGCAAATTTTCTGTTAGTTTAATGGTAGTCACAGAAGCCAAGGGAAGAAAGAGCTAGAATATGTATAGTCCTGCACAAATTGGGTCCATTTTAGAATAAGCCAGAACTTTTGGGATATGGAGCCAGACTAAAGTTTATAGATTATAAATATACACTTCAAGAAGCTATGTTTTACCCCTGGAACTTACTGGCTGTGGTCAGTTTCTGGCCAACATTATCTACAATTCCCAACCTTTAATATAACTGAAATCCAACTATTACCTGATCCTATCAGCTAGAAGTTCTTCTTCATTATCATACTAGAAGATACCATCCCCAAACTGAGGGGAGGGGCAAACAACTTTCAATTATGCAAATATAGGAGCAGTATTTGAATGTTTATGATACCTAACTGGAGATACACCACAGGTATCCAAATGTAAGATGATGGAAATGTAAACAAATGCTATGGAAAAATTACAATGACACTCTTTTGGTATAATTAATTTATGCTAAGAATAATTTTTTAAAAGGCCAGAAGTGTGACTCATGACTATAATGCCAGCTATATGGAAGGCAGAGATGTTGGAAGATTATGATTTGAGGCTAGCCAAGGAAGTTAGTGAGACACTATTTCAATGAAAGAGCTGTATGTGGCGGTCACACTGTCATCACACTCACACAGGAAGCTTACGTAAGAGTAAGAGAGTCTAGGCTATCCTAAGTAAAAAACATAAGACCCTAAACTGAAAAATAACTAAAAAGCAAAAGGGGCTGGAAGAGGTTGGCTGAAGTGGTAGAGTGTCTGCCCAACAAACAAAAGGCCCTGAGTTTAATAACCCAGTGTGGCCAAAGGATGAGTACATGTCTGAAACACCAGAATTGTTCTCTCACAGGAAAAAGGGGTCATGTGTGTCAGCAAAAGGGAGGAGAAATCCAGCACTTTCATCAATAGGTGAAAAAGGATTCACATTTGAACCACAGCAAGTACTGATTCTAAAGCCTAGTTTCTAGACGATAAAAAATTTAAAATAAAACCAATCACAAAAACCCTGCTGCATATTACAATTTCTTTAAGCCAATAATCCTTAAGAAAGCAAATGTATCATGACCTTAAATGTAACATGTAATTTAAACACAAGAAGTGAAAACTCCATTTCAACCAACATAAGTTAGCACAAAAACAAAAGTACCTTTCCTCTAGATCTGTAGACAGTGTAAACTCCATAGCACCTATGGCAAGTACTACATAGTGGGCAAGATTCTTTTGCTTTTCTTTTTTGAGCAAGGTCTCATTATGTTGTCTAGATGGTTTTAAACTAATGTAATCTACCTGTTTCAGTCTTCCAAGTAGGAGGCACAATAGGCATGTGCCATGCTCAACTCAAAATTCTGGTTTTTGTTTTTTGTTTTGTTTGTTTTGTCAGTCGTGGGTCTTGAACTCTGGGCCTAGGCGCTGTCCTTGAGCTCTTCAGCTCAAGGCTAGCGCTCTAGCGCTTTAAGCCACAGCACCATGTCTGGTTTTCTGGTGGTTAATTGGAGATAAGAGTCTCAAGGACTTTCCTGCCAGGGCTGGCTTTGAACCTTGATCCTCAGATCTCAGCCTCCTGAATAGATAGGATTACAGGCGTGAGCCACAGACGCTTGGCTCAACTCAAAATTCTTATTAACTAAGACAGTCCTCGTGAATTTTAAGAATGACAGGTAACTGATGAGTAACCAGTTTAGTAAACTCAAGTCACTTCTTTTTTTTTTTTTTTTGGGTCCGGTCGTGGGGCCTGAACTCTGGGCCTGGGCGCTGTCCCTCAGCTCTTCAGCTCAAGGCTAGCGCTCTACCACTTGAGCCACAGCACCACTTCTGGCTTTTTGCTTATGTGGTACTGAGGAATCGAATCCAGGGCCTCAGGCATGCAAGGCAAGTACTCTACCACTGAGCCACCTTCCCAGCCCCCCAAATCACTTCTGTATGGATAAATTTCATTCGGTAACTTAAGTTAGTCTATGAGCTACATAAGCATCACCCATCATTTTAAGTCCACCAAGATGAGCCTCCCACTTGGCTCACAACACTTTAAGAACTGCAGGATGAGCAAATGAGACTTCAAAATGACAGTAACAGCCACAGCAGGTCAAAAATGACTTTTCACGAATTTAACCAACATTCTGTGGGTTAAAGCAGTTTTATTTGTGGATTCTCATATAGCTCACCTGTCAAGTATGAGTTTTTCCAATCTTAAGCAAATAATTAAACCCCAAATGGCTTCACAGCCAGTGATAAAATACATACAGCATTGTACATGTGATTACCTAGGAGCACGAAACTTTAATTAAAAGTTAAATAAGGTTAATTATAAATATTTAAGTATTACCTCTGTCTTCTGAAAGGGGAGGGAAACAGGAGATGTCTCGATCTTAGAGGACAACTGATGAAAGGGGAAATGTAGCTAGGACAAGACAGTCCTCTGCTAAGAATCTGGCTCAAGGTTTACATGAGACTGGAATGGTGGCTAGGTCCAGATAAAAGGTTCCAAATGCTACATAAGCAGGTTCTATCTAAACCTACACATACAACAATGGCAAGTCATCACTGTGGTTGTGTTTTATTTACACTCAGTCTGTCCTACATAAAAGAAACCTTAACTTGCAAAAGGACATTCAAAATTAAGTGGCTGAGGTCATTAATTCATAGGAAGAATAAGGGTCAGAAAAGATTAGTGCCAGTGCCAGTAGCTCACGTCTTTAATCCTAGCTACTCAAGAGGCTGAGATCTGAGGATCGAGGTTCAAAGCCAGCCTGGACAGGAAAGTCTGTGAGACTCTTATCTCCAATTAATCACCCAGAAAACTGGAAATGGCGCTGTGGCTCAAGTGGTAGAGTGCGAGCCTTGAACTGAAGAGCTGAGGGACAGCGCCCAGGCCCAGAGTTCAAAACTCCAAGACTGACAAAAAAGAAAAAGAAAAAGAAGAGATTAGTATCAGAAATTTTACCATGTATGACTGTATTTAGATTTAGAAAGAACTCTAGTGACACATTATGGAAAAGTTTTTGTAATCATACTGTGCCAACCCACTTAGTGAGGGGCACAGGTAAGGTGGTTGACATGTCAAAAGACTACTTTAAAATAGGGTTTAACTTTCTATTGTAATAACAGAGTCAGTATAGAAGCAACTTTATCCATTCAATTTCAATACTGAATATAATCTTTTCACATTGCCAAAAGAAAACTTCCATTTCAATTCCTTACTTGACCCCAACTCTTCAGTGTGGGCATGGGCATTAGCAAGCAATGAAATGATCCACAGGATGTTAAGAGAAAGAGACACCAAAAGGTCTAGTAGCATGTTCCACACTTGACATCAAGTCAGGTTATTATTAGAAGTAAATCTCAGACTTTGCTGGCCATGCAGGCTTTGAACCACTATCTTTTAGATAGTGGTTCACTATCAGATCTTAGCCTCCTGAGTAGTTAGGATTACAAGCCTGAGACACTAGCACCTGGCTTTGTTAGATTCTATCTTGCAGCACAAGAAAAGGCTTTCCCATTTGCAAAAGTTGCTCATGAACTTTCAACAAATTAAGCTAATTTATTTTGTGGAACTATAAAGTATTCTAACAAAATAAGAGCGTGGCATTTTTTTTTCCTTTCCTTTTCTTTTCTTTTTTTTGTCGCTCATGGGGCCTGAACTCTGGGCCTGGGTGCTGTCCATCAACTCTTCAGCTCAAGGCTAGCGCTCTACCACTTGAGCCACAGCACCACTTACGGCATTTTCTGCTTCTGTGGTGCTAAGGAATCGAACCCAGGGATTCATGCATGCAAGACAAGCACTCTACCACTGAGCCACCTTCCCAGCCAGAGTATGGCACCTTTAAGCCAAGAGTTTATCAATTTTATCTCCAAGGATGTTTTGAGCCAGGGAATTGTTTGTTCCAGGAACCTGTCCTTTTTACCACAGGGTGTTTAACAGCAACTCCACCCCCCACCCCCAACAAAAGTGTCTCCTCTTACTGATGAAGTATGCCCTGTGGGACAAAATTGTTCTCAGTTGTGAACTGCTGATTTGAAAGAGTGGTTCTCAACTGAAAAGGTATATAGAAATCACCTTTGGAAATTTAAAAACGTTAATAAACAGCCAGGTTCTATTATGTAGAATCTGACTCAGTAGATCTGTAGCAGCCTAGAATTCATATTACTATCAGAATCTTCAGAATGTAGGATTTGGGTACATGTCTTTAAATTACTTGAGAACTTTTTATTTTTGTGTGTGTGCCAGTCCTGGGACTTGAGCTCTAGGCCTGGTTTCTATCTCTGAGCTTCCTTTGTTCAAGGCTAGCTCTCTACCATTTAAGCCACAGTTCCACTTCCAGCTTTTTTGGTAGTTTATTAGAGAAAAAGGTCCCACAGACTTTCCTGCTTGGGTTACTTTGAACCATGATCCTCAGAACTCAGTCTGCTCACTAGCTAGGAATAAGGTATGAACACCCAGTTCCAGAACTATTCTTAAATGCCTAATTGATAATTATTGTGCCAAGATGTATTTTCAACATAAACTTCTTGATAGGGATAATAACTGGAATGAATGAGATTTGGTAATTGAAAATTCAAAGTTCTACATAACTTTATTTTATCATATAAACAATAGAGATTCTAGTCTTTTTTTTTTTTTTTTTGGGGTCTGGTCGTGGGGCCTGAACTCTGGGCCTGGGTGCTGTCCCTCAGCTCTCCAGCTCAAGGCTAGCGCTCTACCACTTGAGCCACAGCGCCACTTCCGGCTTTTTTTTTTCTTTTTGCTTATGTGGTGCTGAGGAATCGAACCCAGGGCCTCGAGCATGCAAGGCAAGTGCTCTACCACTGAGCCACCTTCCCAGCCCGAGATTCTAGTCTTATAGATCAAATTAATACTTACTTGCTAGGAGAAGACAGGATAGTGCAACTAAATGTAGCTGCTGGATAGAGATGTCATAGCGATCCATAAATAGGTCCAGTAGATAGACAGCAAGATGTCGGGCAGAAGGGCAGAGTGTGAAGCGATTGCTCACTATGGCAATCAAGTCAGCAAAGTACCTCCTGAGACTTAGCTGAGGGGACTGGCCTTTGTAGGAGGGCAACTTCAGCTCCTAAATCAAGAACAACCACATTTAGTCTAACACAACCTGTAGAATTATTACCACAATACAAAGAGTTATTGTTTTTCCAACATTATTAATGTTACAAGTACTCAAAACACACTTTTGTTGAAGACACAGAAATGAAAAAGCTGAGTGGGAGGATAACAATCCACATTTAAAAATTAGCCTAAACCATTTCTCCTTATTCGTAACCATATAAAATAAATAATTATAATGTGAACAATTGTGTTTCTTGCTTTGGAATGGATGTATTCTACAAAGACTTTTAGTAAGAGAATCCTTACCTTCTCTATTGGGTTTTCTCAGAATAATGTCCTTAAAAAACCAACCACACTACTGAAATATGCCCTGCTCCAGGAAGCTCAAGCTTTTGGATATAGGTAAGAGATAAGATATGTTGTATATATACTACAGTATATTGGCAGCAATTTGGAGAGCTGCACACATCCATTAGCATCTTCTGTGTTTCCCATTGGCAGTTTTATGACTTTAGCTTTGCCATCATCCTTTTATACACCCAAAAATTTAACCATCAATATTAAATATCAGAAACACATTATACTAGCTCAATTTTAGAATACTGGAAAAATTCTATAGTATTAAAAGGTTTCAAGAGCACAGAGAAAAGATGGAAAACTTTAAATTCATTTTGTAAGAGCAGCATAATACTGAAATGAAATCCAACAGGTACCACAATAGAAAGAAGTAACATAGATATGGTATCAAAAACACAAATGAAATAAAAGGCACAAAAAATAAAGAAAAAAGATAAATACTGAAAGGCATTACAACAGAGTGAAGAAAAGTACCTCACTTAATGAGAGAACAATTTACAAATCATAAATCTAATGAAGGATTAATATCTAAATTATATTTAAGCTTTTTTTGGGGTTAACATTGCTCATTTACTTGAGCTAGGAGTGAACCAAGGGCATTATGCATGATAGGCAAGCACTGGACAACTGGGTTCCAGCTCTTTCAAAATTATATACAGATTTCCTGGACTGAGAGCCAGTGACCACTCAGGAGGCTGAGATCTGAAGATCATGGTTCAAAGCCGGCCCAGGCAAAAAAGTATGTGAGCCTCTTATTTCCAGTTAACCATCAAAGTGGAGCACTAGTTGAGTAAAAGAGCTCAGGAGTGGTGTCTAGGCCCTGAGTTCAAGACCCAGGCTAGCACAAAAATTGAACAATACAAAACAATTGAACAATAATAACCCCATTTTAAAAATAATCTTGAATACACAAACAATTCTCCAAAGATGTTCAAATGGCTAAGAAGCACATGAAAAGATGTTCAACATCAATAATCATTAAGAAATTGCAAATCAAAATCAGTATGATGAGATACTATTTCATACCCCTATTATTTAAAAAAGAAAACAAGTGTCAGCAAAAACATGAAAATCTGGAATCCTTGTGCATTACTGGTGATAATATAAAATGGTGCAATGACTGCAGACAATGGTATAGCAGTTCCTCAAAAAATTAAACAAAGAACTACTCTATGACCCAACAATTCTACTTTTACATATATACCCTAAAGAACCTTAAGTAGGGACTTGAACTGATACCTGTACACTACATCCATTATTAACATATAGTAATAGTCCTTTGTGTCAAGGTTTGTCTACTTACCATATATCAAAAAAAAATTGGGGTGGGGGTGGGGTCAATGTGTGGGCACTGTTCCTGAGCTCTTAAGCTCAAGGCAAGTGTTCTACCACTTTGAGGCAAAGCAACACTTCCAGTTTTCTGGTGGTTGGGATAAGAGTCTCATGGACTTTCCTGCCCAGGCTGGCTTCCAACTGCAGTCCTCAGATCTCAGCCTACTGAGAAGCTGGGATTATAAGTGTGAGCCACCAGCGGCAGGCAAGAATTTCTTTTATAGCCGGAATCGCTTGTCTGTCTGTTTGCCTATCGCTATGTATCTATGTATCTATCTGTCTGTCTGTCTCATATTCTGTTTACCCATTCATTTATCTGCCCACAGGCAGAGTTGTTTCTGCCTCTGGGACATTGTTAACACTATAAAACTAGTCTCAAGCTTCTGGTTAGCAGGTGAATTAAAACACAAAGATTATTAAAATACAATAATCACAGTACTACTAGGATGCTGAGGAAGAAGATCTAACAGAGCTCAGAGGGAAAGGAGTTGGGAAAAAAACAAAGCAAGAGTAGGTGCTCTGGAAAAGAAGTCTGAATATGAACTTGGCTTGAACTCAGGGTCTCAAGCTTTCCTCGGCTTTCTTGATTATGGATGTTGTTGTAACATTTGAGCTACATCTCTATCCTAACTTATTTTTCAGGCTAATTGAAAAGGATATTTTCTTTGGATATTTCTTGTATATTTCTTCCCAGGCTGGCTTTGAACAACAATCCTTCAGGTCAGGTCTCAGCTTCCTGAGTAGCTAAGATTATAGATATGAGCTACTGGCACCTGGCTTCATCTTTATAAATGATAAAGTACAACCAGATGACTGTTAAGAGTTTGTTGTCTTTGTCCAGTTACTATACTATGCAACATGAGAAGTAAGTATGTTTTTCTCAGCCTACAAGTTCCTTCTGCTATGTATTAACAATTTCCTAGAAATGAACACTCTTACTCCTACTTGCTTCTCAGGATCTCAAAAGACCAAAGTACAGAAAAGCCCAAATGCATCATCTCCAGTCTCAAGTCCTCACTGGCTCAACATTCTAAATGCCATCATCCCCGAACAGAGCAATTCTCCAGCCAAGGTGAAATAAAGACCTAGAAAAAATACTAAGTGTAAGTACAAGTCTGTAAGATATCTACTTTAACATTTTTCCTTTTTTCTTTCCTTCCTTCCTTCCTTCTTTCTTCTACCCCCCCCCCCTCTTTCTCCCCCCCCCCCTCTTTCTTTCACTGGTCCTGGAGCTTGAACTTTGGGTCTGAACTCTTTTGCTCAAGGCTAACACTTTACCACTCGAGCCACAGCTCCACTAACACTTTTCTTTCCCCAGTGATTAACTGGAAGTAAGAATCTCAGAGACTTTCCTACTCAGCTGGCTTTGAACAACAATCCTCAGATTTCAGCTTCCTGAGTAGTTAGGATTACAAAGCACGAACCACTGGCACCCAGCTTCTTCAATGTTTTAACCAAGGCTAAAATTTGTTCCCGTTTGATCAAGAGAGCTATTAAAAATACTTTCCAATACTATAAAATTGGCACATGAAGCAAAATGTTGAGACGAATGAAAAGGAAGTCTGGACCTGGTGGCTTCTGCCGGTAGTCCCAGCTACCTGAGAAGCTGAGAACATAAGGATCACAGTTTGAGGATAGCTGGGGGCAGAAAAGTTTGTAAGACACTACCTTAAAAATAACCCATCAGGGCTGGGATGTAGCTCAGTGGCAAAGCGCTTGCCTAGCAAGTGCAACGTCCTGGGTTCGATCCCCAGTACCAAAAAAGAAAAGACAAAAAAAAATACAGTTAAAAAAAATAACCCATCAACCCCGACTCTCCCCTGCAAACAAACAGGGTTGGAGGTATGGCTCCATTCAAGCAAGTGTAAGGCCCTGAATTCAAAGCCCACAATCACCCCCACCCTAACACACACACACACACACACACACACACACACACACACACACACACACACACACACACACACACACGCTTTTAAGGCAAAAGCTGCTTTGTAGGCATTGAGTGTTAAATTGTTCTTTTTTTGGGGTCCAGTCGTGGGGTCTGAACTCTGGGTCTGGGCGCTGTCCCTCAGCTCTTCAGCTCAAGGCTAGCACTCTACCACTTGAGCCACAGTGCCACTTCCGGCTTTTTTCTTTTTGCTTATGTGGTGCTGAGGAATCGAACCCAGGGCCTCATGCATGCAAGGCAAGCGCTCTACCACTGAGCCACCTTCCCAGCCCAAATTGTTCTTTATAAAAAACAGTATGGCTGGCTTTGTGGTTGCAGAAGATTTCATTCACTGTATTTTCACTCTTTCCTACAGACACAATGCTGCCAGTCACACTTTTTCTCCCAAACCCCCATCAGTCTACTACTAAACAGACCATCCACAACATCCAAATGGCAACTGCTCAAAGGAAGATATAAACTCACTTTTTTTTTAAAAGGGATTCTATGAAGGAAACCTGTTTGTGTCACGCAGTTACTGCTTCCACAGCTGATATAGCACCAACCACACATATTCAACATGTTGGATAAACAAGCAATTAAACAACTAAATCGCCAATTAATAACTGGGAATTAGCGTATCTTTTCCATGAGAAAAGTTCATTTTAACTTCCTGGACTTCACTATACAACAATTAGTGGTCTCTCCAGTTCTTCAAGTTCTACTTGTTAATGTCAATTCTTCGTAAAAGTGTGGCCAATGTGTCAAACCATGAACACTGGCTACACAGTGCTTAGAAAAAGCATAAAGTCAACCTAGGATAAGCTGTCACAGGTAGCCCAAGACAGCCTTCCAGATCTTTCAGATCCTGAACCATTCTGACAGTTAATAACTTGAGTGCAGCTGGTCTTATTTCTTGGATTTTTTAGATCGAATACATAAAAGCATTTTGCAAATCAGGTGTTTTTTTTGTTTGTCTGTCATGGAGCTTGAACTCTGGGCCTGGGTGCTATTCCTCAGCTCTTTAGCTCAAGGCAAGTGCTCTACCACTTGAGCTACAGTGCCACTTCTGGTTTTCTGGTGGCTTATTAGAGATAAGAGTCTCACAGACTTTCCTGCCTGGGCTGGCTTTGAACTGTGATCCTCAGATTTCAGCCTCCTGAGTAGCTAGGATTACAGGCATGAGCCACCCGTGCCCAACTCAAATCAGGTATTTTTTAAAAGTCTACTCCTAAGCTCACTGAACAAAATTAATTCAAATACTCATGATTTAAATTACACTAAAGTACAAGAACTGGAAATGATAGAGCTCACTAACATTCAGTCAGCCTAGGAGCATGGCTAAAGTTGTAGAGCACTTTATTGCCCTGAATTCAAAATACTTTCTTGCAGAGTGTTAGTGGTTCATGCCTATAATCCTACCTACTCAGGAGGCTACGACCTGAGGATCATGGTTTAAAGCCAAGTAGGAAGGTCTGTAAGACTCTTATTTCTAATTAATTATCAAAAAGGTGGAAGTGGAACTATGGGTTCAAGTGGCAGAGTGCTATTGTTGAGCAAAAAAGCTCAGAGATGGTGCCCAAGCTCCAAACTCAAGCCCTAGCCCCAGCCCCCAAAACAAAACATTAAACATATACTTTCTATCTTAGTAATTAATTTCACCACATACTAGAATGATAAAAGGCCTAACACTTAGAAAAGAACACTTCAAACTAAAAGACTGCATCTCTCAAGTAAACAAACATCAAAATTGTATCTGGACATAGCATTTAGAAATCTCAAGCTTTAGAAAAAAGCACAAGTCTAACTTAACTCAGAATTGGATATTCCAAACTATTTGTCAGCAACTCGATATATGTTTACTATCATCCCAGAATAAACACTAAAAGGCCAGAATCGACTCTATCAAGACAGCTGCTTTGTTTCTTTCTCGATTTTCTACATTGAATAGTTCTTTTAAGCCAAGGTGAAACTGAGTTAAGCTAGAGATCCTTTGGACCTTTCTTTTCTGTAGGTTATTAAAGCAGAACTGGCCCATTAATCTGTCTCACTTAAGAGCAACAATACGGACTTTGTGAAAGAAAAGTGTATTTAAAAAAATATTTACATTCTGTCCTTTATATGAATGGGTATCCTTCCATCTTAAGGCTTTCTTCCCAGCCACAAATCTTAGGGGGCAAGTAATAGCAGTCAACATTTAGTGCTTATCATACACCCGGCCTGTTCTAAGCCCACTTAAACTTCTCAATCATTCCACAGACACTACATGCTATTAGTACTATTCCTCATTTTACCGCCGGGCAAATTAACAGGTCCAAAATCTCTAAAGAAGTTAGTGCACAGGCTGGGGATTTTAGTTATGTACAAATGCGACTTATAAGAGAGCTATATAGGTAGCAAGTGTAGACATACAAACTTTAAAACTTTAGCATAAACATCCATGTTTAAACACAAGATCAAATCCCTGGTCCCCCTTTCAAACAGAACAGCAGAATGTCCATGTCCCTTTCCACAGTCCCCCTCGAAACTACCACCCCTACCCATCACCACCTCCTCACCCCCCCCCCCCCCATTTAACTCGCAGGTTCTTCTGATTAGAGCCCAGGGAGAGAACGAAGGAATTATCTGTGAGCGAATAAGCACAATCTCTTTCTCTGGCCTCAAAGGTGATGCGTAAAGAACCTGGCCGGCCTGGGCCAGGCGCCGACCTTCCCACAGCGTGCGAGGGTCGGGCGTCTTACCTTGTACCGAAGAGCTTGGTGAATGTCGGCAGCCAGCTGTCCTCGCCACCACTGCCCCTCCAGCTCCATGGAACCCGGCGGCGCGCCCGGCCAGACGCGGCAGCTTCAGCCTGCGAGACACGCCCCGGCCAGACGCGGTCACGGCCGCGGCCTCCCCACGACCCCCGGCGCCCCCTCCCCGAGGGGTGTGACCGCCGCCACCCGGGAGCTGTTCCTTCTCCCCGGCTCCGTGCCGAGCCCGGCGCCCACCCCAGGGCCCGCAGTTCCCCACCCGGGGGAGGGCGCTCATTTGGGGAACGGCCCCTCCAGAGACAGGGCGAGAAGGGATCCACGCGCGGCCCCGGGTCCCCGGAGCCCTGGGTTCCGGGAGCGGGGTCCGCTCCGCCGGGGTGCAAAGCGTCCAGCGAGCAGCCCGAGGGCGAACCCCCGCCCGACTCTGGGTCCCCACGGCAGCGGCCGGCTCGTGGCTCCCGGGATCTGAGCACCGCGCGGCCCCAGGAGGGGAACAAAAGGCCGGGCCGTCCGGGCTCCGCGCCTCGCCCCGGCGCTCCGGTGCCCGCGCCCGGCCCAGCCCGCCCGGCCCTACGGCGGCGGCCTTACCCGGAACCACGGCCCTCACAGCCCCAGTCCCGCCGGCGTGCGGGGAGCGCCGGCCCCGCTCATGCTGCGGACAGTCGGCCGCGAAGCCCGGGCCTCAGCTCGGGCCCAGCGCCGGGGCGCTCGCGCCGCCCATTGTTAAAGGACCGGCAGGCGGCTCGGCGTACAAAGCCAGCGCGGGGACACATGCTGCCCGGCGCTGCCAATCTCGTCTCGCGATACAGCGGGGTCGCCTCGGGCCGTCCAATCGGCGGCCGGGCCGAGTCCAGGTGCGGCGCCGGGTGGCTGCTCGGGGCTCGGCGGCCCCAGTCTGGGGCCCTGGCTTGCATTCCCCCCCACCCCTCTCCACCGCGGCCTGGTGCCTGGTGCTCTGGCCGCGGGGGGCCTGGCCCGCACCTACCGCGTCGTCGGCTTGCGGGTCGGCCAAGGTCGGGAGAGAGCACGAGGAAAGTGTAACAACGTTGATCACTAGATCTGAGCGGGCCACTCACCTGCTGTGGAACTTGGATGGCTCCTTGGCGCCTGCAGAGGCCTTACTGGTAAAACCCTTCACAAGCATGGATTCGATCTGCATTATTCAAACATTTCAACAACCCCACACTTTCCTAGGTTCTGCGCTGTGGGATGGCCAGGACTTCCAAATAGGCTTTAGATGCTTCCGCAGCCCCAAAGACTCGTGAAATTCTGCTCAAGTTTCACCTCAGATCCTACTCTTCTACAGACCTCATGAATCTCATTTTTTTCGCTTTTAGATTCTCAAGAGCTCTGCCTAGAGGGAATTAATATTGCTTTTGGTGTCCTAGCTTGTCAGATTCGTAGTGGATGTAATTAACCATCTGGGGTGGTAAATCAGGAAACTATAGAACTGAAAACACTACATCAATTAAGGTGATCTTGTAGTTGAAATGTGATTAGCAGAAACCTAATCAATTTTATTTTAGACGGTTTGGTGAATTATCCCAAAACAAATGGTCAGCTGAGGGCAGTGACTCCGGCTTTTTCTGAGAGTGTAGCTCAGCCTCTTTAATGATAAAAATATAAATTGTGGGACCCTTATCTGTATCACTTTTTGTCCAGAAAGAATGTTAAAGAGCTCCTACAAAATGATGAATGCACATGATATGAATCTAGGGTTTATCACAATGGCATCTGCCATCTATAAGCAGTTCTTATGTACAAGACAGCTGGGCTACTGGAACTCATGGTAATAGATGGGAAAAAACAAAAGTTGGCAAAGCCCAGCCTAACCCAGTATGGAGGCTGACCTAGTCTTTATCAGCTGCAGAGTTCCTGGAGAGGAAATGACATTCTTATGGCATTAAAGAGTGCTTGCAGCCGGGCACCTGTGCCTCGTGCCTGTAATCCTAGCTACTCCGGAGGCTGAGATCTGAGGATGGCGGTTCAAAGCCAACCCCTGTCAAAGCCAACCCCGGCAATAAAGTCTGTGAGACTCCAATAATCCCGTAGAAAACCGGAAGTGGTGCTGTGGCTCAAGTGGTAGAGTGCTAGCTTTGAGCTGAAGAGCTGAGGGACAGCGCCCAAACCTAGAGTTCAAGTCCCACGAGCAACAACAACAACAACAAAAAAGAGTACTTGCGTCTTCAGTCTCCAATCCATGACCACTAAGAAATTTATGACAACTTGGCTTCCAAATGACTTAAAAGTCCAAGGCTTACCTAAGAACCCTTTCAGAAAAGTGGGTTGCAGACTATAATCATCATACTAAGTTGTTTATTATGATTTCTATTTTGAAGCTGTTGTTCACTTAAGAGATATTTGTTCAGAAATCATTTTCTGGCTTTGTCAGATAAGACTTTGATGACTTTTAATGTCTGCATATGTTGTCCCCAGTGTGTTTGATTATTCAATCCTAAAAGTGCAACTCTATTGTTTTTGCTATTCTTCATGCCTTTAGAACAAGCTGGATACAAGGCATTTACTTAATTCCTAAATAAAATTGTCTCTGCTTGATAGTGTTTAAATTCTACAAAAAGAGAAAAATAATGAACAAAACCCATATCATGTGGTGGCACATACCATCAAGAAAAAGAAACCGGGCTGGGAAGGTGGCTCAGTGGTAGAGCGCTTGCCTTGCATGCATGAGGCCCTGGGTTCAATTCCTCAGCACCACATAAGCAGAAAAAGCCGGGAGTGGCACTGTGGCTCAAGTGGTAGAGCGCTAGCCTTGAGCTGAAGAGCTGAGGGACAGCGCCCAAGCCCAGAGTTCAGGCCCACGACTGACCAAAAAAAAAAAAAAAAAGAAAAAGAAACCAAAAGAGTCCAGAGAGTGATTGTCAGAAGAGTTTTATGACAAGAAGAGTCATGCAAAGACTTGAGAGTAGGCTGTGAGCAGATAGGTATCTGGTGGTTGGGCATTCTGGACAGAGTGGGTAGCAACTGCAAAGACTAAGGAAAAAGTATGTTTCGAAGGAAAATGGAAGATAATTTATGTCTGGTGTGAAGAAGTGATAGGAAAACATTCCAAATATAGACGTAATGAGAAAAAGGCAGAACACCTCCATAAAAGCAGAGAATGTACATTACAGAGTCCACAGCCTAAGGCACAACGGGGATTGGCAGAGAGGACACCTGATTCTCTGGAAGGTTTTGCAACCCAGTGAATGTTTGCTAGTAGGAAGCCATTGTCTTTAAATTGTTTAAATTCTTTTTGTGGATGCATGCAAAAGGTAAAACATTCAAGCAAACAAAGATATAGTGCCCATAGGCACCAGTACTTTTACTTTTTTTTGTAAACTTCCAGTCTATATCCAGGTCTTCACAGTCATTTACGTATATAATCATCTTGCCCCATTTTGTGCACAAATCATAGCATAGTACTGCTATGTTGCGTATCTTGTTTTTGTCATAAAATGTGTTCCAGTGAATATTCCACAAAAGAATTCTTGTCAATGATTGTGTCAAATTATACTAGGTGTAAAGCATGTGAGCTAGAAGCCCTGGGCTGTGTTTCTTAGCTTGGTATTTGTGTTATTTGTTTGAATATGAAACTGCTGTACTAGTTAACTCACTGCAACTACTGTAATCATCTACTATCAACATCCTTGCCTATGACACCATTCTCTCTCACTTGGGCTCGTGAATCCTAGCAAGTGGCCTCATGGCCCTCACCTGTCTCCAAAATATTTGATATCTAGCAGCTGGAGTAAATTGTAAAAAGTCTTATAATACCTGATGCAGTCAGAGTTCCTATATCACACTTTCAAACTATTTTAGTGTGGCTTATAATGTTAAGGACAATTTCTTAGATTATTTTCAAGACTAGAGACCAGAATATATAGATAATTATTTACCAGAAAGCATTACAAAATAATATAGATTTTACTTCTTGATAAAATGGACAAGGTCTTTATTTCTTGTGTTTACTTGACTAGGCCACAGGATACCCAGATACCTTGGTCAAACATTATTCTGGGTGTTTATATGAGGACCTTTTTTAAAAAAAAATTTATAAGGTTGGTAGATAAAGTTAAGCAGATTGTTCTCCCTCATGTGAGTGGTTCTCATCTACTTAAAGGCTAGAATCAAAAGTAAGTCCCAAGTAAATAGGACTCCCTATTTCCTAACTTCTTTGAGTGGGACATGGGTCTTTCCCGGCTTTCAGACTGAAATGCAAACAGGGATTTTTTTTTTTTTTTCATCATAAGCCTGCTAGTTTTCAGGCTGGAACCGTAAGTTGTCTTTTCTAACTGCCAGCTTGCTGAGAAAAGATCGTAGACTTCTCAGCCTCTGTAATTTTTTTCATTTTATATCTACGTATCTGTATCTGTTGTCTGTATACGCATGAATACTTACATACATGTGTATTTATGTAGACATAGGTACATACACATCCTATAAGTTCTGTTTTTCCTCCGGAACACTACTACAATGGATTAACCAGACTTCAGTCTGTCTCTTCCCCGCTCCACACCTAGACAGAACTGGGTATGTTGCCTTATGCCTGTAATTAATATCAGAACTCAGGAGTCTGAGACTATATAGCAAGATCATCTTTTAAAAAAAGCAAAAAGTAAAAAGGACAGCCTTCATGAAGCAGCTATTTGAAGACACTGAAAAAGCAAATAGTAGCATGCAGCTGAGGAAGGCCATAATTTGATCATTTGATGTATCACTAAACTAGCAATGAGTTACCTACCCATTCTTCCTCCAGGAGCCCCCAGCTTGGATTTTGCTTGAAATCCAGAAATGGCCACCAGGACAGAAACAGGGTAATAGGAAAATCCCTTAGGCTATGAAGAAGTAGAAAGCAGCCTTCTGCTCAAGAAGAGTAAAACAATACCGGTTTGTCCTTTCTCCTTTCCTCCCTTCACTCTTCCTCCTCCATTCCTCCTCCTGCTCAAACCTCCAGGCCATCCTGCATTATACACACAGTAAGGAAGGAACTGGGTGAGCTGGGTGGTGCAGGCCCTTAAATACTGAGGGAGAGGAGTTTCCTATCTGGTCTGAGCAGCTGTGGGTGCTTTCCTCTTTGTCCTTCCACTCCATTCTGGAGAGAGGTACAATAGTGGGAAGTGTGTGGCAGAGTTAGAACTATAGGCCCAGCTTGATGGCTGGCAAACAAAAAAAAAAGGGGGAAGCCAGGGAACTGAAAAGCGCTGGAAGGCTATGGAAAGGGAGAAGGAGTTTTTGAAAGAAATCTTTTATTTATTTATCTTGTGAAATGTATCTTGTGGATAAATTCACTCTGAAAAGACCAAAAAACCTGAGTCTCCCCAAATCTCCGGCTGGCCACTATATTACCCATTTTTCATCTTTGTTTTGACAAAACATCTGACCTAGGCTACTTATGAAATAAAGAGAGGCATATTTAACTCAAGGTTTTGGAAGTTCAAAGTCCAGACTTGGGGAGGGGGGCTGATTTGTCATCTGGTAAAAGTAATGAATGGCTGTCCCTTTCCTCCTTCCATCCTTCCCTCCCTTACTTCTTCCCTCCCTGTAGGAGCTAAAGGACACACACCAAATCAAAACACAGAGCAAACAACCTACATTCTACCCCCACAGGCACACTCTCAATGACCTAACGATCCTGCACTAGGTCCATCCAGTCTCCAAGGTCTATAGTATTTCTCATATTCAAATTACTTAGGATCCAATCCAAAATTACTCAGCAT